TAATTGCACTCAAAATTCAAAGTTCAGAGAAATGATTTGGATGTCACAGATTTTTAGGCACTAGCATCAAATTTTGTCCTTGCTTTATTTGGAGGGCAGTGAGTTCTGGTGAAAGCTTCACAGGGTAGATGAGTGGTTGGAGAGGCATGAGGTGCTGTGGGATTTTCTATTTGATATTGATGCCTGCATGTAAAGTTCATTGTAGAAGGGTTTTCCGAACAAACTTGAAAAGACTCAAGAAAATGAGTTTGACAAGTTTGCATTATTCATTTAAGTTTATAGGAATAAACAACAAGATGTTGCCAGGGCTGTGTGAAACATGGATATATTTAAATCCCGAGCACTCTACCTCATATCATTGCAGCTGTTTCCAGTTGAAGCAGATCACGGTCAAATCAAGAAGAAATTTAGTTTCTTAATTAAAAAAAACCCAAACAACCCAACCTCCTTTATGTCCCATGTAATTAAAATGCTGGCTATCAGGTCTGTGGTTGTCAGTAAGAAGAAGAAGGTGACATTGTAATGAATAATTCATTCACTGTATTTTCTTGGGTGTGAAAGACAGTGGTTTCAGATAGGTTCATAACAGCACCCTTGCCTGGCAGGTCCCAAGCACAGCAAGAAGCCTCGGGGAATCCCAAATGATGTTGTGGGTGCCACGAGTGGAACATGAGTCTTCAAATGATTTACATGTGTCAAGAGTAACATGTGGCCACCGTTCCCAAGCCATGAGCTGGTTACTCATGACTGTGCAGCTCAGGTGTGTGCTTCCACACTGCTCTTCCAGAGTGAGTGCACGTGTGAAACTCTCCTGCCTAACTCTGAGCTACTGTGCTTGCAAAAAAACCAAAAAGGGTTGTGCATGAGGCCCAAAGCAAGATTGGTGAGGTTCCTCGCTCATTTGAGGCCCAAGTATTTGTACGCACTTCTGTTAGTTTATTTATTTATTTATTTATTTATTTTAAAGCCCTTTCCCCTTCTGATGTGTGGAACATCCCCATAAGCGAATGGCAGTGCTGATGAAACCCAGGAGGTTCTTTGCCAACCCTGAGTGTGTGCTGGCTGCTGCCATCTGGCCACATTTGAAAACATATCAAGACTCAGCTTTAAGAAAACTTGCATGCTTCTCTCTTTCATAGTAGGTAGAAGTAACTGAATCAGTGCTAGGTAAAAATAACTAACCAAGAGCATGTTCACAGCATTCCTCTTTACTGATTGACTGAAATTATTTTCTCCCTTCCAATTCTGTTGTGATTTAGTCGCCGAGCGGCAGACTCCAGCTATAATTGTCGCACTACTCCATTTTCCAGCCGCATTCATCTCCAAGAACTGCACAGCTTATGTCTAGACAACCCTCTGAGGAATCTCCTTCTGTGGCCTTACATAGCTTTTGCAGTGACACCAAGACTGATGTCAGCCATTTTCGAGACAGATAGCCCTGCCTCTGCCTCTCATGGCGCAGTTAGCCCAGACAAGCGCTTCCAGTGGAGGCAGCACGTTGACTCTTTATTCCAAAGCATACACAATCTGCATGCACGTGTGCTTACACACACATGCACAGATATGCTTTTGAGGGAGACTGGACCCTTTGCTTTTTATACAGTTGTATTTTAAGTCTGGTTTTGTTAGCATCCATGCAGTTTTCCTTTTTGACTTCTGCGGAAAACTTAGGGTGAAATGTAACAAAGACTGGTACAATTTCCCTGCTGTGCCTATGGTAGGGAAATTCCCCCAGCCTGAGGGAATGGTATGAAGCTGTGTCTGGGGAGGTGTAGATTAAACATTAGGAAAAACCTGCCTTATACTGTTCCTTGACTTGAGGCTTACTTCCATGCAATGGCTGTCTCAACCTCCCAAACAGGGTGGCTCTGTGCAGGCTTATCAGGAGTGACCCCTGTTCCCTGCTAACTCTTGAACTACACACAAGAGTGATTTGGAGGTGTGCTACTGTAACAGACCAAAGCTATTCCAGATGCTGTGGTAATAACATGCTATAGGTAATAAAGTTCCAGTTTCCCACCACTATTGTGCCATAGCTAAGGTAGGCACCCTGTGCTTAGGGGGAATGGAGCCAGTGAACTGAGCTAGTGCATTTCCAGTCCCACCTTCTCCTGCAGGCCCTTCAGAAGCGAAAGGTCCATGCTCACATACCATATGTCTTCTGCCTCTTCCCTAAATCAAGCTTCAGACCTTAGACTAAACTCGGTGATGGAATAAAGATCTATGGCATGGAAGACTGACTATGTTTAGTGTTGGCCAGTCACTTAGCTGACAGACAGATAAAGCCTTCCTTATAGTCCCAGAGGAGAGGGAATCATGTTAGGAATGTACCCTGAATGATGCCTGACTCATACTCAGGGTAGCACATCATGCTGTCACTGAGGGAGATAGAGGTGATCAGACCAGAACTACCATCATGGTATGGCTTTACACACGTGGTGGGGATATGGATCAAAACTGTAACGCTTCCCTCCCCACTGCCACTCTAAATTGTTGAACATCAAGAAGCACACCGGATCATCGGCACAGAAAATACATCAAGCATGGTTTTGAAACATTTCAGTGTTGGAAGTTTCCAGTTGGGTAGGCACGTTGCCTGTTACCAAAGGCACGGAGCTGAAGCAACTGCTTTAGTTCTAAAAGACTGTTAAAATTAAATTGTGAATTTACATCCCTGTCATTGCAGCCCTGGAGCAGAGTGGCTGCCTAGGTATTTCATAATGGAGAATCTTAAGTGTAGCAACACAGGACTTAGTCTGCTGAATAGTATACAGTATTATGTAATTTAATAACATTAAACTAGGATGTTCAGATAATATTATTTGAAATCTGTTTATTTAATACCATTTATATTTTATGTGTCAGTTGAATTTGGGGAGAAAAAGATTTTAGAAGAAACTGGGGGGGAGCGCAGTAGGAAATTGTGCAAGTACTTATCTGAGACTACATCACATGGTCTGCAAAGCATGGCTTTTGCTTTCATACACATAGTCTTGGCTATTCTCCCACTAGCAACAATAGCACTCAGACTCATACTGATGTCACTGTTGAGTTATTTAATTTGACTGTACGAGATTAATGTGTTTATTTAAAACCTTAGTCAAAATGGAAAAGAAAATCTTGGGACAATACTTTTACGTGAACATGTATGTTTTCATATCTATGATTGTAATGTTGCATTAACTTATCAGAAGCAGTTGTTTACACATGCCAATGCCCAAGAGACCCCCTCAGATAAGAAGTGTGAGCCATTTTCCCTCTCAGCCTGGAGCAGAGATTTTACTGCTGCTGGTCTAGTGGGCTTTCATCCTAGGCTTTCCTTGCTTCCTGTTGCTGCTTTCAGGGCTTATCCACAGCGATCCCAGCATTGATTCATTTTCTATGTGAGGATGGGGTTTGGTGCCGCCAAGCAGTGACGGCAGTGTGGTGGTGGATCCTCCAGAGATTCTCACTGGGGCAGTGAGGTACAGACACCTCCACTGCACAGGATGTCGAGATGCGGCTGGTGCTGTAGCCTCTGTAGGCTGAGCCTGCTCCTGCAAAGGCTGGAGCCTGTCTGCCTAAATTTTATCCACATTATGTTTTACAAGCATCTTGAGGGGTTTTTTCCTGTGATAAATCATTCTGAATTTACTTCATTCTCACATGTACCCTCTAAGTGTTTGAAATAGACTTTGGTTTTTACTAAGAAGCATTATTAAGTGTCCAGTTAAATACTCCAGGTCATTGGATTTTTACTAATACAGAGCAGGGAAAAAATCTGGAATATGAAGTTTCTCTTGGTGTGAAGGGACAAGTTTGGGCAGTTCTGTGGAATCAATTGGTCATTGACTGATGAATGGCATGAGCGAGGGAGTTTCTGCTGTGCTCTGTCAGGAACCTCTCTTGATAGTTGAGGACAAATGGACATACACATAGATTGATAAGGTAGAAATTGCGTAAGGCACAGCTCAATACTGTGGCAGGTGCCTGAAGCAAGGTGGGCCTGCTCTGCCTTTCAGTTTTGTAGTCCTTCTGTGCATACTTTCATGCAGCCTTCTGTTCACTGGTTCTTGGAATATTAATCTCTTGGGGAATAGCAACTACTGGTGGGGTTTGTGGTATGCCAGGGTGTTCCTTTTATGCTGCTTCCGTCTTCCTAGTGCAGTGGAAGGCATTTGGGCAGTTGAGCCCCCGCCGTCACCATTGCCACTGTTGTGGAAGAAGGGGAAAAGCTTGTTATGCGTCCGTGTACCTGCATTTCTTAGAGTGCTTGGCGTCTTAAAGGGTAATGCAGTGGGGCAGAGGGGTGGGCATGGGAACAGAAGAGCTGGTAGAAAAAACAGCTCCAGGCGATCCTTGGTCCTCAGATTGTCTAAGAGGCTCTGATGCCCTGGGCTGTGTGTGCTTACTCTGCAGCATGCTCCAGAGCTGTATGGTGCCGAAGGTATCAGACTATACCAAATCTTCAGGATTGACCTCCTGTATCAATGTGTTGTACCTGTGCCTGCACATGGTGTCCCCAGGTGCCCTTTGAACTCTTACAAGAACTGCACGTTTAAGGAAATTGCAGAATAATATGGTTTGTGAAGCTCTGCTGCTCCCCGAACTGGGCGACATGTGTCTCCTCAGTGGCTGCATATGAGTAGTGCTGAGGACTATGAGCAGGCCTTTACTGGATGGGGGGAAAGGTCCACAAGAGTGGACCAGGGCAGTCATGGAGCTGCTTTTGGAGAAGCATCCATTTAGAACCTGTTCCCATCTCCTGTTTTAAGTGCCCTCTTTCTATATAGTTCAGACCTTTGGACTACCTATGCACAGGGGGTCCATGAAGTTTATTTAAAGCAGTAAATAGCTTGACATACGAGGACATCTTTCCTCAGGGTTCCAGTCAGTGGAAATATGTCATTTACAGCTAAAATTAGACTGTCTCCAGCTACATGAAGGAAAAAAAGTAAAAACTCTCAAGAACTAAACTCCTTCTGTTGGACTTTGTCAGATGTAACAACTCCTAGCAAAACTAACTGAGGATCCACAAACTGTGTCCAAAAGTATGTGATTTGGATCCAGAAAGCTGTGAATTGTTGAAGAGAGAGAAACAGACTGTCTAGACAAAAAAGGTTTTTCTCTTCCATGTGAGAAAATATAAATAAGCTTAGAGAATACTAATAAATCTTTCAAAGGCCCTAAATGAAACCTGAGAGTAGTCATTTTAAATTAGTTTTGCAGTTAATATTGTACAGCTCTTGACAGTACACTGTGAGACTGGAGTGGCAGAGAGGGGTTTGAAATCAGTACAATATTCTACTCATTGCTTCCATAAAATTTGATATTACAGATTTAGTTTCATAGAAGATGCTTTGAGCTGAACCCACAGATACTAGCATATAAAAAAGAGCTACATTTTGTTTTCTAGTAAATATAACCCTAGTCGTGCAACAATTTGCCTGGTGCATTGAACTCTAAACAGAGTTGAAGTGGCTGGATGCTTAACAATTTCCATCATCCAACTCTAAAAGGAGTGGGGAGAGTAATGGGGAGGAGAAGCTTGGACCCAAAATAAACATCAAAACCAAACAGAAAACCATTGCAAATTAACTACACATTTTGAATAATTTCTCTTTCAAAATATTTTATTGAAGGAACAATGAAAATAGTGTGTGAAGCCTAACTATGTATTGTGTTGCTGTTCCAGGCTTCATCAGCAGTTTCTTGATGTTTGGAAAGTTCTGAGACCCACCCTGTCGGACCACTTGTAACCAGTGCCTAAGACTACAGGAACGTATGTGTGGAAGAACCTTTCCTTGAAGGAAGTGTCCCTTGCTATACTGTGGAAACTCCGTGCAAGCCTTGCCAGGCAGGAGAGTAATTTGTGCTTCCATTGGCGCTTGTTTGTAATCTCTGCTTCTTATGCACTCCAGCACCCCTATCAGTTCCTTGTTCTCCTTCACCAGCCCTGCAGTGAAGAGGCTGCTGGGCTGGAAACAAGGAGATGAAGAAGAAAAGTGGGCAGAAAAAGCTGTTGATTCCTTAGTGAAGAAGTTAAAGAAGAAAAAGGGTGCCATGGAAGAACTGGAAAGGGCTCTGAGCTGCCCGGGTCAGCCCAGTAAATGTGTCACTATCCCACGTTCCTTGGATGGGCGGCTGCAGGTGTCTCACCGCAAGGGGCTTCCCCACGTCATATATTGCAGAGTGTGGCGCTGGCCTGATTTACAATCTCACCATGAGTTGAAACCACTGGAATGTTGTGAATTCCCATTTGGCTCAAAACAAAAAGAAGTGTGCATTAACCCCTACCATTACCGGCGGGTGGAAACCCCAGGTAATTATGTCATCTGCCAATGATTCACATCTCTCTATTAGCTCTTGCTCTAGCAGGTCTAGTCTTGGTGCATCCTACGAGTTGTGCTCTGAAATGTGAAAAGGCAGGCTCCATCTAATGGAAGGATCTTGGGTCTTACCCTGCCCTGTGGCGTCATAGCTCTGGCAGCTATGGGAGCTAAGGAGGGAGTAAGGAACCCGTTGCCCCGTGGGGTCTGCATCCCATCAGACCACCAAGGGTGCCCGGATCTTGTCCAGGGTGCTGAAAGCAGCTTCCTCTCCATGGATATGGGTGCAGAATCCTTCCCTCGTGAACTGGTGTCCATTTGCATTAAGTCTAGGCACCAGCCCAGACTTGCCACCCTGGCAAGATTTACGTCTCATTGTCTCAAAATCAACAATTGACTCATTAACCCACAGGAAACACTAGCTCTCCCTTTAAAGATAAGAGTTGCAGTAAGATTGCATATTTTGCAGTGGATATGAAACCAGATCAGTTGATTCTTCCTAAAATGCCTGGTGGCCTGCCTTAAATGGAATTTACTTACCTAAAGGGAGAGTTTATGTGAAGTAAATCCCCCAAGTTCTCATAAAACTTTGAAATTTTCCCTGATGATCCTCTTTAGACTGGACTTGGCCAGCACTAAAACACTGAAGGGTCACTTAATTGGGCTTTATGTCAATGAAACAACTGTTAAAAAATCATAGTGTTCAGTGTTGACTTCTATAGAGACGCTGGAAAGCAGGGCTGACAGAAGTCTCAAGCAGTCATCCTGTTTTCCTCTGCCCAGACCACCAAACCAAAACAAATGACAGGGTACATTCCTGATGGATCTTTTTCTAATGAGCTCTAAAAATCCCATGTGATATAGGCTCTACAATCTCCCCAGGCAAGTGAATCTATTGCTTTGCTCTTCTTACAGTTCAAAATGATTTCTAATGTCTAACCTAGCTCTCCCTTGCTGCCAAAAATCACACTAATTTAATTTACTAATGGATATGGTTGGTAAGTGTATTATTCTGTGATTACTCTTTGTCTGGCATGAACTTTACTCTGAGGTGACATTAGGATCAGATAAGTGAACTGTGGGATGCTTCTTTTCACATAGATGAAATAAGGGAAAGACATTTGTTAGCATTTGTTAAACAACGGGGACCGCTTCCTCCTCTGATAGTCCTTCCACTGTAGCAGAACTGTTGCTGTGAAGTTGTATCTGAACTGCTGTAAACATTGTCACAACTTTTAAATTTTACAGCTACGCTGAGTGCTGCTTGCTGTCAACAGTTCTCAGTGGAAAAAGCTGATTGCCTGCCTTGCTAAATAAACTTTTCAGTAATCTACAAGAAGATGCTCATAAAGTATCCCATTTTGTGTATCTTTCTGTTTGAAGGCTGCAGTCTTAAGTGTCTTTTCATTTCTTCTGGTGTAACTCCTGTGTAGTTAACAGAGTCTCCTCTGCAGTAGCTGACAGCACTGCACAGTGCTGTTTTCAACCCTAGTCTTGTCATCTGTTCAGTGTCAGCTAACAAACACTAGTACTGGAATAGTACAGCAGCTGCTAAATGGCAGCCAAATGTTTTATAATCTACATGCCAGTATTATTTTCATTTTAATGTCCATCCTTCTGCGGACCACTTTGCATCACTGCAGTCTTTCTTACTGAGTCAGCCACTCTATGACCAGACCTGTTGACTTTTATCCAGAATGAATGAGTTGTGTCAAAGATGGGAGGGCCTCACCCTTTCTTCAGTGGCCTGGCAGATCCCTAGACCACTCTTACTAGAGAGCAGCTTTAGGCTCTGGTTGAAAATTCAGCGGTTTCATTGCTTCTGCTATGTCCTCAGGCTGCCCAGCCACATTTTAGGTTATGCTGACCAATACTGCACAGACTATGCATAGCTTTTGTTGCTGCTACCAGTGTCCCCAGCAGATTTCTTATCAGGTCTGCCGAGTATCAGGTGCCAGTTAGAAAAAAGCAGCAAATATTTCCTCTATTTGTGCAACATCCCACTGCAGAGAGGGGTTAGGCCACCTAGTCTGAAGGAGATAGGTATGGTGGTTATGCTCTACTTCCCCCTTCATTGTTTTCTTCAAACAGCTCGTCAGAAATCTGAATTGTTTGTTGTCAGAAGAAGCCTCAGTTTCAGAAAAATCTCGAAGCTGCCTAAACATGTACCCTCTTATTTTTATGAGATCATTCATGTGTAGATATTGCAAATTTGAGGGTGCACCATTGCTCTAGACAGCAGGAGACTAAATGAATTTTTCACTTAGATTAACTGACTGCTTTCATCAAGCCCGAGTAGGACTAAGATGTGATAGCCTCCCAGGTGGAAGACTGCCCAGTTATCTCACTGTTGATCATGTGTTTGGTGTTTGGAAATAGTTGTGGGCACAGGGAATAGGTGGATCTCACCAGAGGGTAGAAAACTCTGCGGAGATGGACTGATGTGTGAGAAATCGAAGTGTGGATGTTGTACCTGGAAGTAAACTGAGACAGGTAGTTTGCTTGTGAGCCTCTGAAGTCAGAGGCTCTGGGCACAGCCAGGTTTCCAGCAAGAACTGCTGAAGCTAAAGGGAAGAGGAGAAAGCCCTGTGCACGAAAGGCAGTAGGAGGACTTGAGACATGATCGTATATGTCTTCAGTTAAACAAAGATCATCATATCATCAACACTTGAGCACGCATAGAAGGAAGGATCCACCTCTGGCTCCTGGTAGACAATAGCAGGTAGAAGAAAAGGACCCCCATTGAGTGAAGAAAGTGCAGGTAATTTATGAGGGCAGACAAATCCAAATACACTCAGTTACTTAGTTTTGAGCCTCTGATCACACTTCCTTCAGAGTGGTTGAGCCCTGGAGAGTGGCATGTTACCAAAAGAACAAGAACAAGGCCCTCAGGGGTACTCTTAGCCACAAACAAGAAAATTTCTGAATTCCTCACCACCACAGAGGCTTTAGCCCTCTAGGCAGTCACAGAACAGTCAGTGGAAAGATTAAGGGAGGTGGCAAAGACTGTACAGTAGAGCAGAAATTAAGAGTACCCAGGTCAGAGCTGGGAAGAAGTTCAAGGCTTGAAAATTCTTCTAGCATGCTGACTCACTCAAGGCAAATCAAAGGCTTTCCCTGGCAAGCGTTATTCACACATCCGAATTCTCAGCTTTCATTTAGAGGAGTTGAGTTCTCAAAGGGCTGAAGAAAGCATGTGGTACCCACAGTGAGGTACCAGCCTCTCAGTGCTGCATGACATTGCTGTAGCATAGCTATCCCTTGCTCAGCACCTCTGCTGGGTGCAAAGGGATCACCAGCTCCCCATTTTCTAAGGCTGCTGGTCAGAGCTGGCTGAGCAGCAGCAGACCTGGCAAGCATCATACCAGTTTCATGGAGCAGCAGAGGAAAACTCCAGAAGCAGCAAGAGCTCACAGCCTGGGGCTGCTCACAAGAGCATGGGATCGGAGCAATCCAGCTCACCAAAAACATATCTGCAGTGGTTGTACTAGTCTTGTCCCAATGTATAGCAGATGAACTTAGCAGTAAAAGAGTCTTTTTCTCTCCACTAGCTATGAAGAGATCCATGTGAAGATGTGAATACTTGTATTGCCTGTATGAGTCCTACCTGAAGAGTCTAGGAAATCCATAAAACTAAAAACGCAGTAAAGAAGCAGAAACACCTATCTCTACCAAAGAACTTAAGAAAGTGGTGGCAGAATTTTTACACCACAGATAGGGGCATATCAGATCCAGAAGGAAAGAAAGTAGTCTCCCAAGCAGAATCCTTGTCCTGGCCAAAAGCTAATTAGAAATGCATTGTGCCAGAGAAGGGTCTATGTCCAATCTCTTAATAGGTATCCCAGTGCCTGTGTTTCCAGGCAGATAAGAAGACTTCTGCAGTGAACTCCCTGACATCAGTCCAATCTTTTGTATGGTTTTAGGTCTCAGTTCTTCATCGTATGGGTGACTGACAAATTCCCAAATGGTATATGCTAGTGGGTAGGCAGATGCGTGGTTTAATCCTGCCCCAGCTGCAGCATAGTGCTACATCAGCACTATGATGTACAGCAAGAAGCTGTAAACCTGTCCTTGTTACCAGGCACTAGTAAGTGCCCCAGCTCTCTGAGCTGTTGATGTGCATTTCAAGGGGAGTGTTCCTGCAGCCTCTTCTCATGCACATGTTTTGCATTATCTATATATTACTTGCTTTATAGCAATTATTCCATGCTTTCATTAAGCTGGATAAATGAGAGTTTGCTATAATTAAAAGGTGTTAGCTAACCTGCCTAAAAAGGATTTGCCTTACCTAAGCAGAGCTTTTGGGCCCAAGCAGTATGTTAAAACATGTTCAAACCATATATTCCCAACAACATTTAAGACCAAGGGTGCCCATTGCTCTTTGTTTCTATAAACTATTAAGAGTAGACTGAAAGATTACATGCTGCTGAGTTTTAAGCCAGAGGAACTCTGCACACTAGGTCAATCAATACAAGCCTGCTGAATTGTCCCTGCTGTTGGGACAATTCATGCTTGTCACAATAGCTCAAATTGCCTTCTTATCTCTTCTGGTGGCTTTTAGATCTGCAGGACAGCTTAAGGCTACATGAATTGCCCACTGTAGGTGCTGTTCTCCCCCCAGGGACTATGGGGGACCCAATTAAAGCCTCAAGTTGAACTCTCATGTGTAGTCCTACTTGGCAAGCTCCTTTGTGTTCCAGCCTAGGGACTTCATCTTTAGAGGTAACTCACTAGTCAGGATTTTTAAAGTGTTTTGACTCCAATTCTGCTCTTCCTCTTCATGTCACAATCCAGAGTAATTCGGATCCGTTTTGGATTTCTCAAAGGAGCAATGGTGTTAACAGCACTGACAGTATGAGATGTAAGTGAAGAGAGTTTGTGAAGAGAGGTGCTCTCTTCTACTAGACCAATTTTTACATTGGTTAATTTGGATTTCAGTTTTCTGACCTGCATTTTTCGTGTCTTAAATACCAACCATTAACATATGCCTTTTTATGCTAGATCTTTTCTAACTATATTGCAAGAGCTAAATTGATATTGCTGCAATATTTTAATTGCCATTTATATTTCCTTTTAAAAATCCCACTGTCTGGCTGGTAGCATTTTCAAGTACCTGAGAACATTTTAAATCTGGTGTCTAGCTTCGGGTCTGTACTTCTTTTTGCCCATCTGTGACTCAATGGTAGTAAAATATGTTGTGTATTGCAGAGTACTATTAGTTGTTACTAAACGTGGCTGTGAATTTGGCACATCCTGGTGATAATATTTAGCAAAATCCTGACATAGTCAGTCTTTGAAGAAGGAAAGAATAAATAATTTTGGGATGGAGAGATGTGCCACTTGCATTTCTGTAAGAGGACTGTGTGCTCATGCTATACCTGTGAATTTTTTGGTACTTTGCTGAAGTCAGGATTCCATGTTTTGCATAAGGAACTGCTGTAACTGGCTGCAAATCTGCAGAAAAAAAAGTCCCAAGAATCAGCTTTTGATTCTGGATTTTGAACAAGTTTGTTGCCTTTCAATGGCTTATCTATAGATAGCAGTATTTGAGCAGCATGGAATATGCCTCTTTTTAACTTACAAAGAGATATACTTTCAAGAATGCAGTTTTAACCATTTTATTTCTTGTTGTTATTTTTATTTGCAGTCCTGCCTCCTGTACTCGTTCCAAGACACAGTGAGTTTAACCCTCACCTCAGCCTCCTTGCCAAGTTTCGAAACACTTCTCTGCACAGTGAGCCACTGATGCCGCACAATGCCACCTATCCTGATTCTTTCCAGCATCCTCCATGCACCCCTTTTCCATCATCACCCAGCCACATGTTTTCCCAGTCACCTAACAGCATCAGCTATCCCAACTCACCAGAAAGCTCTTCTGGACCAGGAAGTCCCTATCAGCTCACAGGTAATAATGAGCTTTTAGACATTCTGACTGAGGCAGTCGAGGTTCTTACCAGAGCCTGGAGTCAGGTGACAATTCTGTATGCTTCCCTTAGGCTGTAGCTACAGATTGAACTGTTGGACAGAGTGGACTTGGAATGTGATTTCTTGTTACTGCTTCTTGTGTATTTGACTCCCAGTCCTTCTGAGGGATGCTCAGAAGGGGGACTAAGGGACTAAGAATTGTAGTCATTCCACTCCTAGAAGTGCCTGGCTGAGATTTCATGATTACTGTGAGGAGGAAGTTGAGGAGAGAAGCAAGTGTGCCAGGCCACCTTCTGTCTAAAGCTGTCCATCCAAGCTTCCAATACAATTCACGGAAAAGAGCACTTGCAAGACCCAAGTAAGGGACCTAAGATGGTCAGAGTAGGAACCTTTAGAAGCTCCATCAAGAGAGAGGATAAAATGGGGAAATTGGTGTGCAGAAATATTTTTAAATGTGTGGTGATCCCACTGACAGTATAAATTAAGTTGTTTACCAATCTGGCCTAACTTGTGGAAGCCACTAGGCACATTCCTATGACTTTGGAACATGTTCCACAGTTCTGAAGTTGGGAGGGTTATGTCACTCAGATTGTTTGTGTTGTAAACTCCTTACTTAGTACTGCTCTAATTACCTGAAAATTTAACTATGCATTTGCTGTTAATGCAACACAGCTAAGAGATAGTTTTAATATCAAAACATGTTTCAGATTCACTTCTACTCTTTAACTTTCAAATAGTTTCATTATTCTCAGCTTTTTCCACAAAGATGAATTCAGATCAGAAATTTGTAGCTTAAAATTTTAGTATCTCAACTGCAAAGTGTTTAAATGCATGTCCTTAATGACATGCCTATTTTCTCTTTAAGTGCAAGAAGTTTATTTTTACAAGGTATTTGTAGTATTTGAACTTCCTTTTAAGCTGGATACTTTCAATACAGTGTGATGATTTTCCTTCTCTCTCCATTCATTGAATATGTCTTCATTAATTTCTTCTCTAGATCTATATTTCAGATTAAGTCATATTTAGCAACACTGAAACATTTCATTGAGTAGTAAGACTTGTTTGTCTTCTCCTATATTTTTTCTTTCACCTCTGTGTAACCAAGCTGGATTCAGTGGAGCTGGTCCTGACAGGTAAATCAGGCCCATTCCAGCTATGTAATGACTCTGACTCGTGCATTTAACTGAACTTGGGACCTTGCAAAGCTACTTAAAAATGGAAGTGGCTCAACCTTAGCTTCAGTATATCACAGCACATGGCATGCTGATAAGCATAATTTGCCTATGTAACAATCAAGGATGGAAGGGTATCTAAAGCAAAGTGGAGTTACATCAAGAACCTTGAGCAGGATTGCTGTGACCAAATATAGATGTCAGCTATGCTAATTTCTGCATCTCATGCAATTCTCTGTACTCTCTTTCTAATCAGTGGAGGAAAACAGGGACTCCTACAACAGGATTCATTGCATCTTTTTGTATATGTTCAAAGTACCTGAGATACACTGTCTCTGTGGGTGCCTATGTTTCTCTTGTGGATATAAGGAGAGCTTATGGTGACTAGCTTAGGCATAGACATCAAAAATAGCCATATAACCACATGATTGTGTGATTATATTCCTTTCTGTGACTTGTTTTCTCTTCCACTATTTCTTGGTTTTGTTTTACCATTCTAGCTTGTTGTATTTTATGTGGGAGGCTTATGTCACCTATATGTTAGAAATATCATGTGGTGTATGAAATTCCTAAATCCTGAACAGTGCTTAAGTAAAATTACATTCCTGTTCAGTACTTACTTGGAAGATTCAATGGTTGTCTTATGAGACAGTTCACAGTCATCCACTTCCAGATGAAGTTGCTCTGTTTTGAGGGCCAGCCAACAGACCCCAGACACAACAGGGAATTTCAAACTGGAACCAAATTAAACAGTGCTTAAAGAGATCCATAGTCCTACAAGCTTGTATATGGCTATAATTAGCACATAAGCTCACAGGGTTTCTGTTCAAATGAACAAAGCTACATGCTTTGAGTGCTTATGCAGTCAATGTTGACATTTTTTAATTTGAAAATTAAGACCTTTTTTCTTTGGCTTTTTGAAGCCTTCTGTCTTTCTTGAGAATCGCTGCTATAGAGTAACCTATTTTCTAGCTCATGTTGCTGGAAATGGAACAAATCAGGAGCTGGGCAGGTTGCGAGTTGATACTTTTTCTCCTAATGTTTTCAACACATCCATTGCTCCTTGACGGGAGACTGAACAAACCAGGAGAGGACAGACTTCCCTTGTAGGACAGAGGTAAAAAAAATAAATCTGGAAGGAGATTTGCCAAGTCTGATTTTAGAGTGTAAATGCTTTCCATAGGCTTTTTTTTATAGACTGTGAAGAGAGCTTTCTCCCAGAGGATCATTTAAAGTTAGCTTCTGCTCTTAAATCATCTCCTTAAGTTTTAAATTCATGAGAGAAGTCTGGAACTGAAGGATCAAACTTCATTACTTTTGTAGGGTAACAGCTGGTGTTAAGAGAGAACTTGGCACGGGTCTAGGCCTGAGGCACTGTTGTGACTGTCCCTCTCTCAAGTGCTGCATGTCCAACATGACAGCCCTTCCTTCCCATCTTCTCTGAACACACAATGGTCTTAATCTAGAGACTGAAGGGAGGTCAGGTTCAGATTTGTGCTGTTTCCAGCCTTCTCTAGCTAAACAATGCCAGAGAGGTATAATATTCACCAGGAAAAGCCAAGAAGGAATTTACCAACATACTGATTTAGGCTTCTTTCTTTCTTTTTTTCTCTTTCTTTCTTTCTTTATTTCTTGCTTTCTTTTTCTTGCTTTCTTTCTTTCTTTCTTTGCTTTCTTGCTTTCTTTCTTTGCTTTCCTTCCCTCCCTCCCTGTCTCTCTCTCTCTCTGTCTGTCTCTCTCTCTCCCTCCATCTCCCTTCCCTTCCATCCCCTTCCCTTCCCTCCCTCCTTCCACTCCCTCACTCCTTCCATTCCCTCCCTTCCCTTCCCTCTCTCTTTCTTTCTTCCAGTGGAAACTCCACCTCCGCCCTACCACACAAGAGAACCTGCAGGAATGCACAATGGACGGTCAATGGATGCAATAGCTGAAAGTCAACTAGTGCTGTCTTTGCCCAATGGAGGTAAATCTGCCGATGGAGAACCTGAAAGTAAATAACCATTTGTACTATTTTTTACATAAAAGCTGTTAAGAAAAAGAATTGTCATTTGAACAAAAGGGTTCAGTGATGTGTAATAATAGGTTTCAGGCAGTTTTGCAGTAAGGCTCTGTGCTAGACCCACCCATTACCTAGCAGAATAGGTTGATGTAAGAATACCATGTATTATGTGCAAAGTTACAGAGTTTAGACTCTGTATTTTGTATTTTTATTTGTATTTTTGTACTTTAACTACTTTATGTAGTCAACTACTTTACTACTATTACTTTACTTTTGTACTTTAACTACTTTATCTAGTTTATTTGTATCCATGTACTATTACATTTAAAAGTTGTTAATGAAAGCAAGCACTGTTATCTACATCATAAAGATAAATATATCAAATCTAGCATGGTGGGGCAGTATAACACACAAAAGCATTATCAATATCAGAACTCTTTTTTTTACCACCTTCAGCTCTGGGTTTCAAGTACTTTAAAGTCTTGTGGTAGGAACCTTTCTGCTGCCATCTTTGTATAAATGTTACATTACTGGCTGGCTAGAAAAGAAAAGGACATGTTCTAGTTAAGTACAAAGAGATTTTTACAGAAGACCAACCTCTGTCCTCTTATGAGAATGCTTTAGTGGGAGAGGGTATGGATGGTCAGAGAAGAAGGGTCTGGGATCCTCCTTGCACCCCTCAAAGCAACTTGGTGTCATCTTCATCATGGTCCCTGCTACCTTTGCACCAGTACTGGCAACTAATGTCTCCACTATTCAAAGCCCATTGCTGGAGAGTACCAAGGGCAAATGGGAGTTCCTCTGCTGGGTTTTACTTTGGCTTCCTGCTACTGCAAAGGAAAAATCACCATTGTTCTTTTAGTCCATCATATTGTATTTTTAAATAAATGTGGTTTATAGAATGAGGACTGAACACTGTGCACACACATGCACATTAAAAAATTACTGCCAGTTCTTCTGAAAAAATGAGAAGGCTGTATGTAGCATGGAACTGGAGCAGAAGGAAGATGAGTGGGATGGTGCTAATTACACAGAATGACCAGATGATAATAAGTTATCAGACACCAATACTTTAAAATAAATTGTCAAGCTACTTTAATCTCTTTATCATAGTTTACCACCCTGATCACTATCCTACTGAATATTAGTTAGGAGTTTATTAGAGGTTACGCACAGAGGCTCTGGGGGCAGGCAGGCTTACATGCCTGTGGTGAGCAGGCAGGATAAGGTTTCCTTCTAATTTCTGTAGGAAAAATGAGGCTCAGAGATTCTGTTACATTTTTCAGTCTGTCTCTGACTTAGAAAACCTGGGCATGGGTAGATCCAAAAGAAATGACCTTGCTGACATTTCTGCTTACGATCCCACATGGAAGCAGAAAGCCTGAAAGCATCTAAAAATTGAGAATGGGGGATGGGAGGTGGGGGTAGTGATTTATTACTTCTGAACTACAGAGTCTGGTATTAGGCTGAAGGCTTGCCTTAGTTTTGACTTGCTTTGAGCCCATCTGTCATCCCTAGCTCCTGCCGGTGTGTAGAGCAGATGTATCCCTTACTATTTCCAGTGTATTATTTGGGCCCCAGTTCAGCAAGGAATGTCAATGTGTTAGAGTTAAGCTGGTGCATCAAACTTTTGCATGTTTGGGACTTGAATAAAAAAAGTTAAGAAGCAAGGGAAGCTGCTGTTGGGATAAAGCATGACATAAGTGACTGTTTAGATGGAGAGATGGGGGGCTGAGAATGGGAGGGAGGAAAGAAAACAGAGAAGGATTGTTTAAAAAATATTACTGAGACCTGAGCAGCTGACTAAGTTTTATTTCCTACAGACTTTCGGCCTGTTTGTTATGAAGAACCCCAACACTGGTGCTCAGTTGCCTACTATGAACTCAACAACCGTGTAGGGGAGACTTTCCAGGCTTCCTCTCGAAGCATCCTTATAGATGGTTTTACAGATCCCTCAAATAACAAAAACAGGTTCTGCCTGGGTCTGCTGTCAAATGTAAACCGCAACTCTACTATAGAAAACACCAGGAGACACATAGGAAAAGGTAAGAGGAAATCCCTTCTCCTCAGGAATATTCAGAACTCAGAAGATCCACATATTGCATTAACAAACCTATCTGATTTGTTAAATGCGCTTGTCTTAAAATAAAAGCTCTGAGATTATTCTGAAATAGAAGAAAAGCAGCTGATTCTTTTCTGACTGGATAACAATCAGCAGAGTAACTCCTTACAAAAGCTGTTTACTTGGCCAGTGAAGAGAAAAATGTTGTTTATAGTTATGTGTTCTGATTTAGCAGTATGTATTTTCATTTTATTTATTAGAGCTTCTGGCAACTGGGAATATTACCATTGAAATGCCACTACAAGGATAATTGCTGGTGCCTGAGGGCTGATTCTCCTCCCACCAAATAACAAAGGGAAATGGATGAAACACTTAGTAGTTGAGTTACTTAGCTGAAGAACTCTTACCAGAGTTGTCTTTGTAGCTCCCCCTGCCTCGCTGCCACCACCAGTCTGATTCCCTGCTTTGCCAACTTTTCACCAGTAAAACTAAGGCTTCCATTCTCCCACCAGTGGTTCTCTTTGTATGCTCCACTTCTGGTGTACAGCGTGCAGAATCATATGCTGCTGGTGAGAGGCCACACCTGGACATGCGTGACCACACACAATCTGCCCCAGCTCACTGGGGCTGTGTAGGGCTTGATTTTCTCGCAGAATTTACTGTTGTTTGTGATGGTGAGTCAGAAGCCCTGTGCCAGCCACTTCTCCATGCAGATGAAGCTTTTCATGTTCTGGTATATCCAGTCTAGACTCATTATCTTGCCAACCCAGCCTCGAACCAGTAGCTACTTGGGAATGCATTTCCCACTGGGCTAATTAACTCTAATTGTTCCACTGCTATTATCTTGTCAACCTCACCTTATTTCCCAGGCCTAGAGCAATATTTTAATTGGCTCTTGATAGTCTAGTGTTGAATGACTGAATACAAGGAAGCTCTGAGACAAATGTAATACAGTTTTTGCAAACAGCAGTGAACCTGAAGGCTGGTGCAGGAGATGTGCTTTGCTCTTGCACTTTTCTCTGGGAGGGAAGGCACTTGTGTTGCAGATGTCCTGTGTGAAGCCAGTGTGATGCTACAAGTGTCTGTCATAGTGGTTTGTTGTGAGAGGTGCAAATGTGTTGTACATCTAGTTCTAACTTAGTAAATAAAGCAAAGCTTCCCTATCAGTGTAAGTTGTCAGAGGGATGTAGATGAAAGATGAGCCTGGCCCTAAAAGAATGACAAAGGATCCCAGCTGTCATTTGAGGATGTTACATCCTGTGACTTTCTGTGCCAAAAGAGGAAGAGACAGAACAAAAATAAGATTAGGGAAATGCTAATGGTCTTCATCCATTTAAATCTGAAGATCTGTCTTCATTGCTTAAAAGTCCTTTAAAGTCCTACACTAGGAATCTGCCCAAGGGAAGGGAGCAGGTTGCCCAGAGAGGAGTTTAGTGTATCAGAGATCCGTGATTTTACTGTTCTTGCCTGTTTATGTAAATCTTAAAAGAACATATACAAGTGGAGTATAAGTGGCACCAGTACAGGCCTGCAGAAGAGCACACAGCAGCTCCAAAATGTGTAGTTCAAAAGCATGGTGGACAGATGAAAGCTACTGAAATGGATACAATTGTCACATGTTAACAGGGGAGAAAAAAGAGTGAGTAAACAAGATTAGCTCAGTAGGATAAGGATATGCGATTGAATTGTCATCTAGTGTATCAGCGTGAAACGGTTTCCTGGAAATACCACATCAAAGCTAAAAACAATCCAGAACACAATGCAACATCTACTAGCAATTGGACCTGTTTCAGCAGTTAGACTTCAAGGACAAAAAGGGGACTTTTGATCAGTGTCAAGGCGATGTGGATGCTTGGAGACTGCTGAATTTCCAGCTTCTGCGAGGAGCAATGAAATTCCACTAAAACATATGGACCCTTGATTTGGTCTTCTACAAATATGTATCTAGCAGCTTGGTTTCCTTGAGGGTGCTTTCCTCTGATGAATGAATACTAGAAGGATAGAAATACATACTGATATTTCATTACTGCTGTATTTACTGCTTTTAAAAAGTCCACAAGGAAAAAGCAATTTGTAGCATCTGCTTTTGGGACTAACGGTGGTTTTGTTACTATAGCAGACAGATTGGGCGATGCCTTTGAAAGAATTAATTTTTTCCAGAAAACGGGTTACTCAATATACTTCCAAAACCCAGCCTTAAAAATTTTTCACCTTAATACCACAAAGTGTGGTGACCCTAAATCAGTAGCCACACTTTAAGATTTGAAATGCGGTGAATTTTTATGTCCTTATTCTTCTCTCCTTACCCTCTGTTCTCACTCTACCTGATTATTTCAGAAAATTATACGGACTCCATCAAGGTCCTTCCTGTTTTCAGTCCTTCCCTTTTATGCATTTCCAAGGTAGGGAAAGGAGAGTAGGTCAAGTAAAAGCAGTCACAGTGTGCAGCACCCCACAGTGTCTGGCGTAGTCAGAGCAGACCTGAAGACTGGTGGAATGGAGCTGTCCCCTTGCTTGTGTTCCCAGTGCAGCACCAGTGTGTATTTCAAGCCACACCCCTGCCACTCGCATCTCATTTGAGATCTTGTGGGTGCATAGAAGTCAAGTGGTGGCTTGAAGACAGACTTAAAGGTTCCTGTCTGAGTCACCCTGGAAAACTGTGGGAGAACATAATCTTCCCAGATTCCTTTCCCACTCAACCTGCTTTTCCCTGAGCCTTTCCCACTTCTGTTTAGAGGCTGGTTTTGTCCTGGGGATGTGCTGCTACCCCTTGTTGTTATGACCACAGAATGATGAACAGACTGGGAATATGTAACCAGTCTTTTTATGAAAGACACTAGGAATAAAAGTAATTTCAACTGCATTATTAAAGCATAGTTATCACTAGGTTTGGAGGCAGTCCACTGAGGCTCTGTGAAAATGCACATTTTTATGTAAGTGTTTGAATGCCATACCTGGGAATAGAGAGGAGGATTTTACTTTTATTTAGTGGTGGTTTTTATGAGAACAAAGAATTGAGTTCTTTCACCTCTCTTGACTATGGGAGGGGTTCATTTCCCCTAATCCAGCCATGGGAAAGGTGACTGCCTGGGCATTTTCACAGGATGACTTGGCCCCTTTTAGGGTGTGGCTTCATGCTCACGTTTAAGCAGGCTGGGTCCCCATTGCCGCGCTTGCACTGATGAAGATCTCACTGCAAATAAATTTGGTTTGGTTTGGTTTGGTTTGAAGTTTATTAGCTGGTTCCCGATCCTCAGCCATTGCTGCCAGCATGAAAGCAGGTGTGAGAAGAAACAGCAGGGGTAGGGAATGGGAGAGCCTTTTCAGCACCTACACAGACTTCCATGGGGTTAAACTGGCTGTAAGCCTGCACTCTGTAGCGGATGGAATGAATCATCTGGTCACAATGCCTCTCATCATCTATCAGCTAGGGAAGGTGTCTACACAATTAGCTTACACAAGATCCCTAACTTTAAGGTTACTGAATTAGGCTAAGATAAATTCTCACACCAATTTAGGTATATTTTCATGCAAGCAGATATCCTGAGGGGATCAGAGTATTTGAATGGATAGAAGTGCTTCCACCTTCATTTCCCCAAGGCACAGTCAAAATTTGAAGGTTAGTGTTGGTAAGTCACTTGGGCACTGGAAAGTTCAGAATAAAATCAGTCCTTTTCTTGCTAAAGGTCACTTGGAACAGGATCTGACGAATCAGTCACATCAGGTAAATGCAAATACTCGGTTCTGATGTGATGGATAAAGCAAAATACAGAAAAGCTATTTTAAGTACACACTATGCTGTGTTTTAACTGTATGACGTAGGATCCTGTAGTAAAATAACAGCATGCAGTGAAGTGCGTCTTGGTCAGCGTGCATGTTCTCAACAGAGAAAATACACTTCAATGTGTAATGTAATACTGATTTTTCAGTTCTTGGATAGTTTTGATTCATGGTTTGTATATGGTTGACATGTGTTTGATACTTATGTATGTGTGTCTGTGATAAAATACTGTGCTGTTGGGTAAAAGAAGTAAACCAAGTTTTACTGAGAAACAAAGAAAAATACGGGCTTCTAAAACTTTTTTTTTCTAGACCAGTACCTCAAAATAGTGTTTATGATATTTTCCTCTTAATGTTAGTGGCCCCTTGTACAGTACATAGATATGCACACATTTTACTGTCTTCTAAAAGGTAATGTATAGGTACCAGGTATCTGGAATGCTCCTGAGTTTGTATGCCAGGATAAAAGAAAAAATTATTTGTATAAAGAGTGTTGTGAACAATGGAGAAATGATACACATTACGTTTTCTTTTTCAAGGTGTTCATCTTTACTACGTTGGTGGGGAAGTTTATGCCGAATGTGTCAGTGACAGCAGTATTTTTGTGCAAAGCCGCAACTGTAACTACCAGCATGGTTTCCACCCAGCCACTGTCTGCAAGATCCCCAGCGGCTGCAGCCTCAAGATCTTCAACAACCAGCTCTTCGCCCAGCTGCTTGCCCAGTCAGTCAATCATGGTTTTGAAGTGGTGTATGAGCTGACCAAGATGTGTACTATTCGAATGAGCTTTGTTAAAGTAAGGATTCTTTGTTTTCTCTTGCATTTCTGAAAAGGCAATTCCCATTACTTTCTAGCTCCCATCAAGTCCTTTCTGAAGCAATTCAGACTGCCTCTTTTCCAGTATTGCCTTAAACTTCTAGGTGCTTGCAATCATTAGTTTTGAGGTCAACCTCCAAATTTCTTAGATTCCAAAATTTGGGTATTCCATAGGCTCTCTGTGGAAAATAGGCAGAGAATGCATGGTGGAGTTCTCCCACTGATTGCACAAAAAGCTCAACTTGGAAGGGCTTAGCAAAATGTAAATGTCTTAGGCAGTTGTGATCTCTCATATTGTTACAGGTTTGCAATAGAGCTTGATAGAGCCATAGGTCTGAAAAGAATGTCCTTATGTCTCTAGGCTAATTTACAGTCTCACCAGTACTATAGACTGATATATATGGTCTCAGTCAACAAACACTGGATCCTTCTTCATCTCTCACTTAGCTTGCAGGGAGTTGTTGTTTGCCATCTGCCTGATCCCTGGCTAAAGATTGTTGTAATTTCTGATGAAGTTCCCTCTGGCCAGCCACAGGATCAGAAGGGCTTCTTGCAAGCAGAATAGAAAAAGAATATCTGATCTTCTCTCTGTTACTTGGAAGAGACAGGAGGCCACCAAAGCAATTACTGTTTCGATGTCTTTCATATCTGAACTTCACAGTCTGACTGCTGTGTGATATCTGTGTGATATTTGTGGGAGTTTCTCAAATTTTCTGAATGGCCTTCTCACCAGAATGAGATCTCTTGACTCCTTTTAGCACTTAAAATTTACTTAGGTGCCTGCTGTAGCATCTAAACCCCAAAGAATGGTGGGTATTTAAAGATTGTTTGCAGATATGCTAGACTGACTTGCTATAGAGCTGCCGGGGAGAGCTGGCAGCAATGTTCAGCCTGCAAACTAGAGGAGCTGCACCATTAGAAGCCAGTTGGTCCTGCTAGGTACCATAAAAAATGGCTTGTTTATGTGCTTTCGTCTTGCAGATTTGTTTCTATACAAATGACTGAATCAAAATGATTGAATTCTAAGGTACTGAAAAATTGCTTGAGGCTTGAGCCCAGTTACCTTATGTTCTACAGAGCAGATGAATTGAGTCCTACACATCTTTCTGACTTTTTCAAGCCATCCTTGGGGACCCATCTCCTTAAGTCTCTGAGAGCATAAAGAGTGCTCTGTAACTTCTCCCAGGAGTCCAAGCCAAAATCTCCATGCCCATCACCATGCTGCTGCTTTGTTCTTGTGAAGGAGCTGACATCTTGTTCACATGCAAAGTTTAGGGGGAAAAAGGAAAGCAAGAAACTCAACAAACATTTTCTTTAATTAATGGAAGACATGAATGGGCATGTTGTTTGTAAAGGCAGTGTAGCCAGTTACGCAATATTTTCATTATCTCAGCAACTTGGGGACAGTCTGTTTGATGTGTTATCTGCCTCCAGGCTCAGCATGGCAGCAGAAATGGTGATGTTGATGCACTCTATATTGCTGCTGCCATATTATCATCTTGCTTTGTTGAAACAATAGCAGCTACTATAGTGCCTCAGGCACCAGAAGACCAGTGCAAGGAGTTCTTTTGAAACCTTTCCCATGACCTTTGGGAAATTGCTATGCAAATCTCATCTAGGTTCTTTGTTCCTGGCCTACGAATACCTTTTCCTGTACTCAGTCTTCTCAAAATATTTCTCTCCCAAGGTGTGAGCCCCTGTGTGTTCAGTCTGGGGTCAGGAGTGCCGCTGGATGTTGGGTATGCAGTTGCAGATAGGGGCATGCTGTCTGTCAGAGAGCCCCCAAGAGAGCCCCCAGGTGCAGGGTGATGCTGTGGCTTCTCCCCTGATTCATGTCCAGATGCTGCTGGTCACCTACAACCCACAGGACAAGCACAGCTAAAGGGCTGGAGACCCTGTCTCCTACCCCACCAATGCTTGAGCTACCAGCTGGGAGACAGCAATGGGGAGGGACCAAGACATGAGAAACTTGCCAGGACTGTGTTGTCTTCTGGAGGCAGGACATGGGACAGAGGGAGGTAAATGTCTTGTCCCCTCTGATGTCCTTTGTGTGCCCACAGAGCAGCTAGGAGCTCAGTTGTGGATGTACCATCAGTGAGAGCAGTTTTCATCCATTGAGCACTTCTGATAACCAAAGCAGGATGGTGTTGGCCCCTCTCCACAGCTGAGGCAGCTGAAGCACAAAGGGTAGAGATGAAGAGTTTCTCTAAGCTGAGGTCTGAACCCAGCACAACCCCTCACACATTTTCCCAAGTCTTGGGGCTAAGGGGAAGACCCAGCAGACTCGACTGTGTTCCATGGCATGAGGTAACTCAGTACTCTGGGACACGGCTGGAGCCTGGGCTGGAGAGAGCTGTTGCCCACAGGAGGCAGGGAGGGCTGGCAGGAACAGCAGGACCCTGTGGGGGTACTAGTATCCTCTTCCTACCATCTGTGCAAAACACTGTCACAGCTTTGCAAGTTGTGTTCATCTTATTCCCTCATTAAGAGAATCTGAGTTCATTTTGACCCTGGGGATAAAGGAGGCTACCTGCGACCCCAGAGTGATATACAAGGGGCCACAGGGGCCTTGTCCTTCTACTGTTTCCCCTGGCAGGGCTCCAGCCAGAGACAGCATCACTGGGAGTGTTTGGGAGTTGCCAGCAGAGGGAGATGGCCAGCCGCCTGCATGCACTGCCAGACTCCCCCAAATCTGGCAGGTTGTACTTTCAACCTGCAATTGCCATTCCTCTGGCTTTTCCATTCTGCCAGTCAGCAGAGGTGCGTCGGCTCCTCTAATGCCCTTCTGGCTGTGTATCTTCATTGCAGCTGAGTACTTGCAACTTCATCATCTCGGGAGTGTGACGGCACTGGCATTTTATGCAAACATTTACAGAACATCAGTCTGAGGTCCTGTGAACAAAGGCCCTTTCTAGCTTGATAAATGCTCTGCAGTTCAGAAAAATGCTGCCTGTTTAGAAGTACTCTGGGCTTTTGTGGGTCCATATTTTACTCTTCTGCTTTCTTTCCCCTTTTCATTATTTAGTAGCAATGAATTTTATCCAAACCACTTATTATGGCATCCTGTTTTGGTGTTGATCTTAATTTTGCAACTGAACATCTAAAGAAGTGGGCTCTAGCACCTTCACTTGTCGGAGTTGTTCAGCAGTCTACAGTTTAAGTGCTTTTGGCAGGCATCATTCTTAATATACCTCCACATCCTTTTTCCATGACAAGAATACCATCCTGCCTAACTAGCATAATGATAGGTAAGACTCAGTGTCTGATCAACATCCCACAAATGAAGATCCTCATCCTGTAGTGGGACCATGTTTTACACATTGCCCTGTGGAAATCCCAGTTCAGTTCTGCCAGTGAGACAGCTGGTGAGCTGCAAGACTTGGGGCTGTGACTTGGAGGCCTCGTGTTGCTGTGAAATCAGGCTGCCTGCTTAGGGAGTAGACACTGAGCCTGCTTGAATCATAGAATCATAGAATATACTGAGTTGGAAGGGACCCATGAGGATCATCGAGTCCAACTCCTGGCCCTTCACAGGAGAATTATACTATGTGCCTGAAAGCGTTGTCCAAACACTTCTTGAACTCAGACAGGCTTGATGCTGTGACCACTTCCCTGATGTGCCTGTTCTACTGCTCAACCACCCTCTGGGTGAAAAACCTTTTCCTGATATGTAACCTAAACCTGTCCCTTGAGGCATGGGGGCTCCAGGCTCTTTTCTCCCTGCCAGCACCACATCCCCATCTTCTGTCAGATGCTCTGTATCCCTTGTCGCACCAAAAGAGCTGGAGAAATTACTGCAGGACTTCCCACAGCAGAGAGCTGGGAACTCCTGTGGGAAAAGAGGACATGTTCAAGGATAGAAAACCTATGGAAAATATCTATACATAGGTTAGGTATGGTACATAGGAACTGCTGAAAGTTTCCAGAGGTTTAGATAAATACCTAGAACTTCTAGGGTGTCAGACTCATACAATGCATCCCTACCAGTACATGAAGCAGTGCCCAGGATCATACCCAGTTCCTGTTAAAATGTTATGAAAGAGCCTGGCCTGCTTTTTATCTGTGCCAGACAGCAGTCTGCCAGACTTTCCTGGGCATGTCTCTGGGGTGCAAACAGCAGGGACCGTTCCCCATGGGCTGTTTGCAGGCAACAAGCTTGGAAACAGGCCTTTCCATGCCAGTTGTTTTCAGCACTTGGAAGTGTGAAGATATTTTTAATTTAATACCATAGAGTAACCATATAGGTAACTGTGCTAACAATGACCTTAAAAAGTAGCAAAATTTCTAGAGAAAATTATCCCTAGGACAAAGCATTACATCTTGGGAACTTGGGTGGTGTACTACTTGTAGTTGTGTTAGACTGTCAGCACTGGAGTTGTGATTTAATGTTTTGGTTTTCTTAAAAAAACTGCTCACTTTTTGGTCCTTTTGTAGGGCTGGGGAGCAGAGTATCATCGCCAAGATGTTACAAGCACGCCCTGCTGGATTGAGATCCACCTGCATGGACCATTGCAATGGCTGGATAAGGTGCTGACACAGATGGGCTCACCTCACAACCCCATCTCCTCAGTCTCTTAAGAATCATCTCTAGAATTTCTGTAGGATGGATGCTATTGCAGGCAGTGGCTTATAGAATTCCCAGTGAACAGAAGCTTCTATATGTAGATGTATGTAGATGTAAATATATCTATACATAGTCTACTCTCTTTTTTTTTTCCCATGCTGCATTTTGTGGTTTCTAGTTACTCTGATGCCAGTACAACAAGTTTAGAAATTCAGGTATAGCATATCTGTTCTCTAGTGCAAAATAAGCCAAATTCCTGCAAAAGTGTCAAACATTTCCTGTGAGCATCTTCATTCCCCAGCCAAGCCAGTAAATGGTGCGAATTCTCAGCACTTTCATGTGGGTTCGGAAACCTGGCTGTAGCTGTTCCTAGTAGGTGAAATTCACCCCTCTGCAGGCAACCAAAGTCAGATCTCTATGCCATTTATATCCATTTTACATCCTAATTTCAGGTCTAAAAGTGGACCTTAGATGGTGCACAGGATTTATGCATAGAGATGACTTTTATCTAGTGAACTGAAGGACTAAATTGCAATTCCAGTCTGACTCCCTACTGCAAAGCATGATGGGACAACAAATCCTCTGAGGAGCTGAGGCACCTGCATCTCCCCTAGGATTTGGCAGGGGGAGAGAACCCTCAGGACATACTCAGCACTGGAGCCTTATCAGAGCATTCTGGACACCTCCAAGTAATCTGTTACTGTTGACACAGTAGGGTACGGTATTGCTGCACTGAAAAGCAACAAGCTCCTAAGAAAAAAATAATAATTGAAATATAGGCCTATGAGTTAAAAAACTAATTAACTTCCAGTGCTTTTTTGCAAAGTACATACATACTTGCATATGTATCCGGCATGTAAACTGAATCCTATCCATGATACAGTGTTGATGTAGTTTGTTTTGAAGTTAGGACTGTCCGTAGATAGAATACTGTGCTGATATCAAGGGTACACCTCAAAGGGGCTTGAACTGTGATTCAGAAAAGGGAAATGACGTGTGCATTGAAGAAGCAAATAATTACTTTATCATTCTTCTTGCGATAGTCTCCATACTGGGAGCAGGAAGCCCCATGCCCACAGGATGCAATGAGAAGGAGATGGGAGTCAGCCACCTCCATCCCCTGTACTGGGCCAATCCTTGGGATCTGACTGCATCACTCGGGTCTGACAGAGAGAGGGCTTCCCTGCCAGTCACTCCATACGTCCCCACAAATGGTTTCTCGTCTTAGATACAGGTTCCATCATTTGCTGTGCTTTTGCCTTGCCTGCAGGTGATGGCGAGGTAGTGTAAGTCATGAACAAGCAAAGAGTGAGTCGATGTGCAGAACCTTGTCTGTGTTCCTTCTGTAAGCAGGGAAACCTATTGCCCATACCCTCATCCACAGAGCCAGCCTTACAAAATGGTTCAGTTTGTAACCTTTTCTGAGGAGACAGGTGAAACTCTTAATACATTTTGATTGTCTCCATCATTTTGCTGAAAGAATCAAGTATTATTTCTTTCAAGGCATAACAGTTCATTGAAAATTGTTTTGCTTTAAGGATCAGAAAGAGTGATAACTTCTCCAATCTCATTCCTCCATGGAATACACTAGAAGTATCATGAGGAAAAAAAAATGTTTTACAGAATGTTTCTTTTCTTCTCCACCACAATATCTGGTGCTACACATTTTGCTGCATAAGTCAAAGAGGATGCCTGAAATCTTCAGCTACATCACATATGCAAAGGAAATAACATTCACTGGAAAGACAGTAAGTAAAGTAACAGTGTTATTTCAGTGCATCTTCAGCTGCCTGTGGAATTTGCAGGACACAGAAGGATAAATTATTGTTAAGTCTGAGCAGTAATAGCAAGTTGTATATGAAATTTGTACATGTTCTGTCACCATTTGACATCAGGGGTGTCATGTCACTGTGAGATAGGAAAAGCTTTACGGTCTCTTGCAGCAATGAAATACAATAATAATATTACACAGAAATTCCAGGTGTGCCATTTACTGTTTAGCAGACTTGAGAGACATCAGTTTGGAAAAATGCGTTTTCCTCAGCTCCCTCTGTCATCAGTGACCCTGTCCCAAGGTACTGGTAACATGTTTTTTAGCATGTTTATTGCACCTCTTCTCCAGTAGCACCTTTGCTCTAGGATGAGCACCTTTTCATGTAGCTCATTTCTTTGCTTTCTTAGCAGCTAAGGACCAGAGAAAATCACCTCTCCTGTCTAGGATCTAGCTCTGTCCTTTATCCTAGGTTCCCCCTTGTCTTTTAGGCTGAAACCTCCTTCCCTTCTAATATAGAGAGATACTTTTATAGAGAGAAGACATTTCCAGCATTGTCATCTTCCTCACAGAGAGCAAAAAGGAGATGTTCTGAGGTGTATCTGCTCTTGGGCAGCTCCAGAACCCAGTTTCTGCCAATGCTGAAAAATAGGCCAGTGAAGAGAAGCAGGTCCTTTTGGGACATCATTCATTTCATCATAAGACAGGCATTTCAAGTAGGTGAAAATGTACTTTGGGCATGCTTATGTTTTCCCACTGAGTATAAGGGGAACTTGTGTCTCTAGCGCAAATGTGGACTGCTACACTGGACATTCCAAAAGTAGATGAGGTGGACCCTAAGGAAGATGTGGTAGCTTTCCCAGCCTAATAATGATGCTTGCTCAGTTAAGTGTCTGTGTTGTTTGAATAAAAGTTGGTAAAATCAGAGCAGTTCTTTCTTTCCTGTATGTCTACTTTTATAGTAATCCTTATATGAATGGAATTTGGCTTCCATGCAGTCCATACATGCATCTCATTTAAGGCAGTCACCTTAATACTACCTTACTAATAAGTACAGAGGAATCTCTGAAGCATGATTCTTCTGACCTATTTAAAACATCTGTATTAGAATGAAATGAATTTCAGCAAATATAACTATTTGTCAGAAATTGGATCAAAGCACCTGATTCTGGACAATTGAAGCCAATGGCCATCACAGAGTTGTTAGCCTTTAGGAAGGCTGGTATCACTGTGTCAACTATTTCTTCCTGTTTTGGTGGCCTCTAGGGACTTATCCCACCATGTGGAATGCTGTGCAAATACAGAGAAGCTGACAGCTCCTTCCCAAGTGAAGGGGAGAGCTCACAGAGAAGTGATAATAGTGAATGAGGAAAACAAGTAAATAGGAAGATAATCCCTGCCCAGATGCAGAGATAAAAAGTAAGGTTATTAAACCATTTATTTCCCTTTCTTTTTGAACAAAGTTTCTTTTACAGGCTTCTCTAGTATATGTGAATTGAACTTGGTTAAAAATTCAGGTTTCTCTTAATTTACAGCAATGTAACTTTGTATCTCTAATGTCTCCCCATTTTGGAAGGAGATATTTGCTGCTGAAAGGTCTTCATAAACCTATCCACCTGTAGTCAATTTAAGGCCTTTAAATGTACTCACTAATACTCAAGCTTTGGAGGTAGTCTTCCTGAGAGATTTAAACTCACTCACGGGAGACTACAATCAGCTGACCAGGGGGTGGAGCCAAGGTAGTTGGCTGGCTGAGATTTAATCCTGGAGATTTAAACTGCTCAAGGGAGTGTAAGTGACCTGGAGCAGGCAAACAGGGATGTGGCACATCAGTGAGGTTGTGGCATGGCAGTTTGCACAGGCAGGGGAAGCAGGAAGGGCACAGCCACCCTCCCAGCTCTCTCTGGTGGATTGTGACGTAGGTGGGTGGCTGTGGTTTGTTTGTTTTTTCCTGCAAGTCAACTAGACCCAGCAATGGTTTACAATGAGCAAAAGCTGCTGGTGCTGCTATCAGGGGGAGTGTGCTAACCCAGACAGAACCCCCTGAGAAGGATGTGGCTGTTCAGGTCTCTGGCTGCATGGAGTGTGTGAGCCTGGCGTTAGTACCAGAGGACAGTGTGAGAGACACCTGTGTACGATGTGAGCAGGTGAATGATTTGCTGTGCTTAGTGGCAGAGCTCAAGGAAGAAGTAGAGAGGCTAAGAAGTATTAGGGAGTGTGAAAGGGAAATAGGCTGGTGGAGTCACACCCTTTCAACCCCAAACAAAGTCCAGCAGGAGACGGTGAAGCTCTGGCCCTCCTGCCATCAGGCAGATGGAGCAAACCAAGTAGATGGGGGGGAAGGGAAACCGGAGAGACTGCCATCACCTCCCCGGGTGCCCTTAAAGAACAGCTGTGAGGCCCTGCACCCAGAGAGTCAGGCAGAGGGCAGTCAAGAAGAGAATCTGTCTGGAGGGTCTCCTGGTTGCACCCCATCTACTAGATGGATCACAACCAGAGCTATAAAGAAAAAAAGAAGGGTAGTTGTAGTAGGCGGCTCCCTTCTGAGGGGAATGGAAGGCCCTATATGCTGACCGGACCCATCCCCTAGGGATGTCTCCTGCCTTCCCGGGGCCTGGGTGAGGGATATTAGTAGGAGACTCCCTGAGCTAATCCGGCCCTCTGATTATTATACACTGCTGGTCGTGGTCCAGGCCGGCAGTGATGACATAAATGAAAGAGGTACCAGGCTAATTAAAAAGGACTTCAAGGCACTGGGTAGATTAGTTAATGGGCCAGGAGCACAGGTGGTGTTCGCCTCAGTTCCTGCAGTAGCAGAGATGAATGAGGAGTAGGAATACTTGTCATCAATAGGTGGCTAAAGGGTTGGTGCCACCAGCAGAATTTTGGTTTCTTTGACCATGGGGCAAATTCTATGGTACCTAGTCTTCTAGAGTCAGATGAGCTTCATCTGTCTAACAAGGGCAAAAGGACTCTAGCCCGTAAGTTGTTGGGGCTGATCAGGAGGGCTTTAAACTAGGTTTGAAAGGGGAAGGGTTTGAAACCAGGCTCTCCAGAGATGAGCCTAAGGGTAGAAAGCCAGGGTTAGGAGTGATATCAGCAGCCCAGGTGAAATGCATGTACACCAATGCACACAGTATGGGTAACAAGCAAGAGGAGCTGGAAGTCATCATGTAGCAGGAAAGCTATGATGTAGTCTCCATCACGGAAACGTGGTGGGATGACTTGCATGACTGGAGTGCTGCCATGGGTGGCTACAAGCTCTTCATAAGGGATAGGTGAGGTGGAGGGGTGGCTCTGTATGTTAGAGAGTCTCTTGACACTCTAGAACTTAAAGTCAGTAACGATAAGGTTGAGTGCCTGTGGATCAGAATCAGAGGGAAGGCCAACAAGGCTGACATCCCGGTGGGAGTCTGTTTGTTATAGACCACCCAACCAGGATGAAGAGGGTGATGAATTATTCTACAAGCAGCTGGCAGATGTCTCAAAATCGCCAGCCCTTGTTCTTGTGGGTGACTTCAACCTGCTGGATGTCTGCTGGGAACTCAACACAGTGGGGAAGAGGCAGTCTAGGAGATTCCTAGAGTGTATAGAGGATAATTTCCTGCTTCAGCTGATAAATGAGCCTACCAGGGATGGGGCCCCACTAGACCTTCTGTTCCCAAACAGAGAGGGGCTGGTGGGAGATGTGGTGGTCGGAGGCCATCTGGGGCACAATGACCATGAAATAATAGAGTTTTCAGTACTCAGGGACACAAAGAGGACCATCAATAAAACTTCTACCCTGGAATTCCAGAGGGCAGATTTCGGCCTACTCAGAAGACTGGTTCAGAGGGTACCTTGGGAAACAGCCCTTGAAAACAAGGGGGTCCAGGAGAAATGGACATGCTTCTAGAAGGAAGTCTGGAACGCACAGGAGCAGGCTGTCCCAGTGTGCCAAAAGGCGAGCCGGCGGGAAAGACGACCGGCCTGGCTGAACAGGGAGATTACGAAGGAAATAAGGGGGAAAAAGAGAGCTTACCGACTATGGAAAAAAGGGCTGGCTACTCCTGAAGACTTTAGGAATATAGTTAGGTCATGTAGAAAGAAAATTAGACAAAGGCACAATTTGAACTCAGTCTGGCCACTTCTGTGAAGGACAACAAAAAGTGCTTCTACAAATACATAATAACAAAAGGAGGGGCAAGGAAAACCTCCATTCTTTTTTTGGACATATGGGGGAACAAAGTCAACAAAGATGAGGAAAAGGCTAAGGTACTTAACACCTTCTTTGCCTCAGTTTTCAACAAGAAGGCAGGCTGTCTGTCCTCAGGACAACTGGCCTCCAGAGCTGGTAGACAGAGACAGGAAGCTGAATAGCCCCTCTTTAATCCAGGAGGAAACAGCTACCTGCTGAGCCATTTGGATCCTCACAGGTCTATGGGACCAGATGGGATCCATCCTAGAGTGACGAGGGAGCTAGTGGAAGAGCTTGCCAAGCCTCTCTCTATCATCTACCAACAGTCCTGGCTCACTGGGGAGGTCCCAGATGATTGGAAGTTGGCAAATGTCACGCCAATCCACAAAAAGGGCTGCAAGGAGGACCTGGGAAACTACAGTGCCCGGCAAGGTTATGGAGCAGTTCATCCTAAGTGCAATCACACAGCACCTACAGGATGGACAGGGGATCAGACCCAGTCACCACGGGTTTAGGAAGTGCAGGTCCTGTCTGACCAACCTGATCTCCTTTTATGATCAGGTGACCCACCTGGTAGATGAGGGGAAGGTTGTGGATATAGTCTGTCCGGACTTCAGCAAAGCCTTTGACACTGTCTCCCACAGCATTCTCCTGGAAAAGCTGGCAGCCCACGGCTTGGACAGGGGCACTCTCTGCTGAGTTAAGAACTGGCTGGAGGGCCGGGCCCAGAGAG